GAGGGTTTTGAGAAAATAAGCAAGGGCGCTAATCCTATCGAATTTCGACGAGGTGTTATGATGGCAGTTGATGCTGCCGTGAAGCATCTGAAGGAGATGTCAAGACCTGTTACCACTCCCGAGGAGGTAGCGCAGGTGGCTACCATTTCCGCGAATGGTGATACATCCATTGGTGATCTTATATCAGATGCAATGAAACGAGTGGGGAACGATGGTACAATCACTGTTAAGGTATCCTTTTCTTTTTTTACTTGATAAGAGTAGGACGGCAAAACTCTGTTTGATGAAATTGAGTACATTGAGGGAATGAAGTTTGATCGTGGCTATATCTCTCCTTATTTCATCAACACTGAGAAGGGTGCTCGTTGCGAGTTTCAGGATGCTTGTGTTCTTTTTTGCGAAAAGAAAATAAATAACATACAGGTCCTCATACCCATCTTGGAAGCAGTTCATCAACAAAAGAAGCCGCTTGTTATTGTCGCGGAGGATGTGGAGGGCGAGGCGCTCACTGCTCTCGTTCTTAATCGTTTGAAGCTTGGTCTCCAAGTCTGTGCTGTCAAATCACCAGGTTTTGGGGACAATCGAAAGAATACCCTTCGCGATATGGCCATTGCGTCGGGTGGTGTGGTAGGTTATTTGATTGCATTTCTTATGTATTAGGTCTTTGGTGATGAGGCGGATATGTACAAACTTGAGGACGCTCAACTGCAGGATTTGGGTAGAGTTGGCGAGGTCGTGATCACTAAGGATGACACCTTGTTTATGCGTGGACAGGGTAATAAGGCCGATATTGAGAAACGCATTTCTCAAATTCGAGATGAGATTAGCGCCAGTAGTAGCGACTATGAAAAGGAAAAAATGCAAGAACGTCTGGCGAAATTGTCCAATGGTGTTGCTGTTATCAAAGTTGGTGGAAGTAGTGAGGTAGAGGTTTCCGAGAAGAAGGATCGTTATACTGACGCTTTGAACTCGACCCGGGCCGCTGTTGAGGAGGGTATCGTACCGGGGGGTGGAGCTGCCTTGTTGCGATGCATTGAAGTTCTTGATAAGATTGAGGTCAAGAACAATGATCAGCAGATTGGTTAGTTTAGCCCCTTTTTTGTAGTATCTGCGTCTTGTTCGTGACATATGTTTTGTTGTTGCAGGCATAGACATCGTAAAGAAGGCTCTTGAAACTCCAGCTTTCACTATTGCGCATAATGCTGGCGTTAATGCCTCTGTTGTCGTACAGAAAGTTTTGGGTATGGATCCCAACGGCGGCTACGACGCAATGAACGATAAATACGTTGATATGATTGCCGCTGGAATCATTGATCCCACGAAGGTCGTCCGCATAGCTCTCGTGGATGCAGCGGGAGTCGCTTCACTTTTGACTACGGCGGAGACTGTTGTTTGCGATATTCCTAAAGAAGACAATCCAGGACCAGGAATGGGAGGTATGGGTGGCATGGGAGGCATGGGCGGTATGATGTAGTCGACAAATCATTCTAAAAGCTTGGTGTAAATTGGCGCAAATTTTAGTTGTATACATAATTTTATACTCAAGTAAAGGCATTTGGAAGTC